ACACTGGAGTTGCCCTACTTGTACGCGTCGTGGCTGTGGGAAGCCAAGGTTTCTCTCACTCAGCTGCAGCGCGCATGGGAACTGATGATCTTTCGTATGCAGAAGGCTGAAGCATGGTCTCAAGTAACAGGCCCAGTTTCGGCTTTGTGGATGACGCTCCGTCGAGTTCGCTGGTCTATGCGATCGGCGCTCGAAGTCATCACCGACGAGAACTCGCATTTCTCTTTGTTGGCTGTGGCGCCTCGGGACTTCCGCGACTTGCTGGAGGCTGGAGTTCAACGGTGGCAGATGCGACGTGTTCAGCAGCACCTCCAAGGCTACGACGGAGAGATTCTCTGGTATCGCGCTGTTCGTGCGTGCACGAAGGGTCCTCGCGCCGTGCGAGACTCAGCAGAGCTGGGGGCTTTGCAGTGCCTGTGGACAGGCGCCATGTGGCCGAGAGAGAAGAAGTGTTGTCATGGCTTCGTATCCTCACCTACTTGTCTTGCTTGTAAGAATGGCAAGCCCGAGACTGTTGGCCGCCGGTGGCTAGAGTGTCCGGCCTTGCTCGAGGGCGCGGAAGAGGATCTCTTGGACGAAGACACGCGTGAGCATAAGCGTAGGGTCGCCGCGCGCGAGCCAATGCGTATGGAGGTGTTGGAGTCGCCCGACCCCAATTTCTTTGATTCGGTCCAGCACGCCATCGCGCTGCCGCTGATCCCTCCTGCGTCTGAGAGGCCCGATCGAGCTCCTGAGCAGCGGTTTGAATGGGATGACCCCGAGGTTCCCTGGAAAGGCACGGTCTACACGGATGAGGCTGGCCAGGATATGCAGACTCCCGAGGTCGCGCGATGTGCTTGGGCGATCGTGCAGCTTGATTCCCAGGGCCAGCCGCCCCTCCAAGGCCAGGTTTGGAAGCCTCCCAGGGATCCAGTCGGTTTCCAGGGCTGCCAGGAACGCGGGCTTCCAGGCCATTCTTGCTTCGCCGCGCGTAACTAGAATTGCAAGTGATCACTTGTCTCTGATCCAAGAGGGTGAGCGGTGGAGCGGGAGAGAGGTGTCGGCCGCTGCTCGCCACGCAAAGATTTGGCGAGCCATGGGAGCCACGGTCGAGCGGCAGGCCAGCCCCCCGCCCCGTTTCGCCTGGACCCCGTCTCACAAGACGCCCGAGGAGGCGCTCAGGCGGGGAATGGGGGCGATGGCTTGGGCGGGAAACGCGCGGGCCATTCTCTCCGCCACGGTTGCGCTGCATGATGTCACGGTTTGCCTTACCTTTGGAAAAGGGCTCAAGCTTCGCCTCGCCGTGGCGGTGAATCGTGCCAGTATTGTTGCGTGGGCTGGCAAGCGCGCGCTGAGCTCTGATCGGTGGGATGGCCCCAAGGAGGAGCCCCGAGCCCGTAAGCCGCCGCCGAAGCCTTCAAGCCTTTCGCTTGTCCCTCATGGTTTGGCGCCTGATGGTCAGGGCTTCCGCTGCAGGAATTGTGCCGCGCGGGGTTTTCGGAAGAGACGACCCGTGATCTGCTGACTCGCCCTTGTCGGCCTTCCGCCCTGTTGCGTGCTCGGGTTGCGGCCCTTTTGGCGGTGCACAGCCCATCCAGAGCCGAGGGGGGTCCTGCTCCCCCCTCGGCTCCGCCGACGCTTGCCCTAGGTCTGGCGGCCGCGGCGGCTTGTGCTGCGGCTGCGCGTCGCGAAGATGCCAGCGCTTCGCGAGGTCGGTCTGAGCGAGGGCGCGAAGACAGCAGATCTCCCCGACGAGAGGCGTGCGCTGGCCCTGCCGCTGTCTCTGGAGGCGGTGGCGGTCCGTCGTCGTCGTCGATGTCGTCGGAGGGTCGGTGGAGGTCCTCGGACGAGGAGCGACGGGCCACGCTCACGGCTCGCCTCCTCAGGTCCGCTGGGGGCAGACCCGATGCCCCTGCCTGTGCCTGCACCCATGCCCCCCCCCCCCCCCCCCCGCGCCCCCTTTTGGGTGGGTTGCTGGAGGCCCCCCTGGAAGAGCTGGAGGGGTGAGGGGGCAGGGTGGGCGCTTCGACGTGCGAGGGGGCTGGGGGCGGGGGGGCAGGGGGCCGTGCGATGCGAACTCGTGCGGCGCGCGGCGCCGCTGGCCCCCCGCCGTTGACGGCGCCCCCGCCGACGACGGCGGCTGCTGCCCGTGCAGCGCGCGCCCCGCGGCAGCGGGGCAAGGGCCCTCGATTGCCTGCCGCCGCCGAGGCTGCTGCCACTGTTGTGGGAGGCGGGTGGCGGGGCGGGGGCCAGGCGGAGGAGACAGAGGAGGTCTCGGAGGCGCTTGGCCATGAGATCCTCCTGAGGCCTCCGTACACTGAGCGCAGGCGATGTGGAGCGCATGCCAAGAAGCAGGGGGTGTTGTTGGGGGGCCCCTGCTTAGGCGCCCTCCCCGCCCCTGAACTCCGCGTCACCCCCGCGGAGCGGGCTCGGGCCAAGCGCCGAGACCGCCTGGTGGCGAGGCTCCACCCTGAGACCAGGGGCCCTCGCTCCTGGTCGGGGCTAGGCCCCAGGTCCTATCTGGCAGGCTGAGCCTGCCCTTGAGCGGCGGTCTGGGAACCGCTGCTGCTTTCTGGAACTGTTTGGATTTCTAGAGATGCCCCGCAGGCTTGGCCTGCCCTTGCTCGCGGTCTGGACCCCGCGCACTGCGTTCTGAAGCCTTGAGAGACCCCAAGAGCCCTCGGCCCCAGTGGCCCGTCACAAGCACAGGGCTGCGTTCAACCTCGGACGCGGTCTCTCTGGCGTGCGACACATACACAGACACACACACACACACCAAACACAGCCCCACCCACCTACCAAACACTGCCCCACACATATGAGCAGCGCCCCAGCCAAAAACAACATCGCCCCACCCCCTAAGCACCGCCCGACCCACCAGACATTGCCCCACGCCGCAGCCACCCAGACATCCCGCACGGCCTCGTCCAGCGCCGCCCCACCCATCAAGCACCGCCCCACCCATCAAAGCACCGCCCCGCCCACCGCGCACCGCTGCTCCCTCCCCAAAAACCCCGCCCCGTCCATGGAGGGCACCGCCCCTGCCCACGAAGAGCCCGCACCGCCCCGTCCACCCCGCCCCCCCCCCTTCCCCCTTCCCCCCCCCCCCCACACACACTCACACACTCACACACACACACGCACACACACACACACACCAACACACAGCCTCACCCACCCACAAGCTTCAAGTCGGGCCTGTCCCTCTACAGACGGCATGTTCAAACATTTTTTTTAAAAAAAAAAAACGTACGGGACGATTGTTCATTTCATTCTTAAATATGTTCGAGCATGTGTTGGGGTATGCTGTATCTTTCGCCCAAAATCCGCCTGTAGGGGGACACGCCCGACCTAACACAAGGACTGCCCCATGCACACAATATGAACAGCGCCCCAGCCAGAAAAAAACATCGTCCCGCCCACGAAGCACCGCCCAAAACAAATCCACCAGACACTGCCCCCCGCCGCAGCCACCCGGTCACCCCGACAGGCCTCGTCCAGCGCCATGGGACCCGGAAGCCAGGGTGCTCTCTGCTCTCGTCCCTCCGAGTGCCGCCGCCTGCGTCGGACACCCATATCCCCGCGCGCCACCAGCGTCGTCGAGTCTGCCTCATGCTCGCTCCCCCCCAAGACCCCCTCGAGCAACAAAAATCTCGACGGGAGGTGTTTGGCTTCCTTCGGCCTCTGGGGGCCCTCGCCGGCCTTCGGGGCCGTCCAACAACGACTCGGGATGAGTAACTGGTCCCGGGGAACGGGTCGAGACCTCGGGCGGTCGACGTAATGACAAAAATCATGACCTCGGGGGTCTAGGCCCTGCGCACGCGGCCCCATCGGAGGCGGGGGCGGGCCCGAGCGTCAGCATCGGCAGGCCAGTCCCGCAGCCTCTCTCCTCGCCAGCCAGCGCGCGCGACCCCAGCGGAGGCGGGGAGGGGCCCGAGTGCAAGTCCCCGTGGCACGTGGGGTAGCCCTGTTCCCCGTCAGCTGGTGCACGTGCACACATGCCCATTTCCGTCGGGTAACCCTTGTCCCCGCCAGCCGGCCGACCATCCTACTTATGGTGCGGGCAGATGCCACTTCCCGTCGGGCTCCGTGGCACCTATCCCCACCTGCAGAGCCGGCGGTCTGGTGGCGTCCAGGGATGTATTTCCAACGAGGCTGAGAGCGGGGCGCGGAGGTCGCCCAATATACACTTGCACCGATCATGGCCATGCCCATCCTGGGCCCAGGATCCGTGCCTTCGCCATCTTTGCTTGGCGAGGGAGGCACACAGACTTACACCCAGACATCGGGCGCACCAACTGTCCCGATGCGTGGACCCCCAGTGGTCTGGACCACTTTTGATAGGGCCCGCTTTTCATCATGAGTCGTTCTTTGACTGTCCTGGGGCCCATGGCAGGCTCATGGATTCCGAACAAAGGGCCCCAAACGCGGATTCACAAATGTGAAGCATGGTTCGTCTCTCTGCCCCCTCCCTCCCGCCCTCTTTCTCCCTCTGGCGCCGCTGCGCCTGGGGGCCGGGGTGTGACCTCGTGTGCGCGACTTGGCCAGTGAAGAAAGGAACGCGTAGGAGGAGGATTAGGAGCAGGATCTAACCGGCCGCTCCAGCTTCTGTCTTAGCTTCAGATCTCTGAATATCCCCGGCTTGGCCAGGATCGTCCAGGCGCGGTGCAGGCGTTCGGCGGCGAGGTCCTAGCCCTGCCCTCGCCGATCAGCGATCCGGGCAAGGCAGTGGGCGCCGGGCTTGGCACTCGTCGAACGCGCGGCGAAATCCGAGCCCCACCCCCCTCAGAGGCGGCGACTGGGGCGACTAGCCCAGGGGAGGGCAATACGTGGATGTATCCCGGGGCGCCGATGATCTACGTCTTCGACGAGGCTCCTGGGCGAATGCGTGCAATGCCCGCCCCTGGGCTATTCGCTCGTATCGTCGCTGCCGACCCCCGCCCCCAACTTCGAGTCGGGCGGGCCGGTGGGGGTGTGGCCACCTGGGCGCACGGCCGACAAGCGCGCGCCGAGCGACCGAGGTCGGCGGTCCCGCACCTGACCGCGCAGTCAGGCGCGGCGCGGCGCGGCCGCCGCACCGCCGCGGCGGCAGCCGCACCGCCTGGGCCGCGGCATCCCCTGTCCTCCTCCCTCCTCCACCTCCTCCTCCTCCTCCTCCTCCCTCCTCCTCCTCCTCCTCCTCCCTCCTCCTCCTCCTCCCTCCTCCTCCTCCTCCCCCTCCTCCTCCGCCTCCTCCCCCTTTTCCGCCTCCTCCTCCTGCTCCTCCTCCTCTCCCTCCTCCTCCTCCTCCTCTCCTCCTCCTCCTCCTCCTCCTCCTCCTCCTCCTCCTCCCCCCTCCTCCTCCTCCTCCTCCTCCTCCTCCTCCTCCTCCTCCTCCTCCTCCTCCTCCTCCTCCTCCTCCTCCTCCTCCTCCTCCTCCTCCTCCTCCTCCTCCCTCCTCCTCCTCCTCCTCCTCCTCCTCCTCCTCCTCCTCCTCCTCCCCTCCTCCTCCACTTCCATCTCCTCCTCCTCCTCCTCCTCCTCCTCCTCCTCCTCCTCCGCCTCCGCCTCCGCCTCCTCCTCCTCCGCCTCCTCCCCTGCTCCGCCTCCTCCGCGCGCGCGCCCGGCTCCGCCGCTGCGCGCCGCGCTCGGTCAGGGGCTGGGGGGCCCTCGGGGTCGGAGGTGGCCGAGGTCTGAACCGCACGAGCCTTGATAGGGAATCGGTCAAGAAGGCAGGACAGGACCCCAGACAACGGGCGTCTCGAAAAAATCGAGACGGAGGTTTTTCATAGTTTTCGGCCTCGAGGGGCCCTCGCCGGGCCTCGGGACCGTCAAAAAACGACTCAGAATGAAAAGCCGGTCCCAGGGAAGGGGTCGAAACCTCTGGGGGTCGACGTCATGCAAAAACCATGACGTCGGGGGTCTGGGACCAGCTCCGCTCAAAATCGGTCCGCGGTCCCCGCCCGGGGTCCGTCTGGTGCAGGTCTCCACCCCGGATCCACGTTCGACGGCCCCGGGCCCGAAGACGGCCCTGGGGGGCAACGCGGCAAAAGCCTTCTCGAGCCCAGAGCCTCGAACCCTCTTCCCCCGCCCCCCCTCCCTGCTGGGCGAAACCAGTGCCCCCCCCTCTCTGCTGGGCAGAACCAGCGTTCCCCCTTCTTGCTGGGCGGAACCACCGCTGCAGGGGAGGGGAAAGGACGAGGAGCTCAAACGGTGAAGGTTCAGCCAACGATCCGCTTCCGATCCTCAGGGCCCCCGGAGGGGGGAGGAGGGGAAGCGGGGAGGAGGGGAACGGGGAGCGGAGAGGGGGGATGGGGAAGGCCGGTGGAAGTCAAACATGCGCCCCCAAGAAGTGACAAATTTGGGCAGGGCCGCTGGGGGCCAGACACATGTCCACACCTTGGCGGTGCGGTGTCCAGCATATCACCTCCACACAGGCGTTGTGGCCGCTCGCGCGGCTGGAAGCGGCCAAGCGGCCCGTATCACCGTGTCGGATGCACCGGCGTCGGCAGTTTCGGTGAAGGCGACCTCGATCACTCGTAAGGAGCGCTTGCCGTCACCCCGGGAGCTCCTGGCCGACTGACTCTCGTTTCGCCGTCACGCCGCTAACTTCTCCTGCGGGGCCGCCCCCCCGGACCGCGCAGTCTTACCAAGAGATGCTGACCCATCGCGGTCATATTTTGGGCTCCTCTCGGGGCCCCCAGCCTTTTCTGGGCCGAGCTTGACGGTTGTTGGGTTGTTGTCGGGTCTCTCTGCGGCAGTCCTGGCGGCTTGTTGGGGCCCCCGTCGGCTTCCAGGAGCCCTCGGTTGCGACCCAATGTTGCTCAGGATGTCCGCCTCTTTCTGTGGCGATGCTTGCCAAGTCTGGTTGCGGGAGACACGTCTTCCCACGTCTGCATCAAAGTGACCGCGCTCCAAAATGGAAAGCTTGGCACAGCACTCGGGGCCCCTCCCCTCCTCCCTCCTCTGTGCCACCCCAAGGGGGGGTTAGGACCTTCAGCTGCATGCAGGGTCTGCTGCAGTCAGAGGGAGGTGTCTGCAGTCTGGTCCTTTCTCCAGTTCGGGGGCCCAGCTGGGTGGTGGCGTGAGTGGTGGCTCTCATAGTCGATGCGCCACTCACCTGCTCTGCCGCGAAAGGAGCACGCGCTCTGCAATGCCCCGCGTCGCGTCAACCTCCCTCCTCTCATCACCCTCCCTCATGTCCTTTCCTTCTTTCCTCCACCTCCATTCTTTCCTCCTTCGTTCTTTCACCAGGTTTCCTCTCCGGGTTCTTCGTGGTCCAACCGATTCCTCACTATCCCGCACGGTTCCTCGGCAGTCCTCAGGATTTGTCGGGATGTTTGCGGATTCATCCAGAATACTGCATGCATCCGCCCCCGCAAGGCGCGACGGCAGACAACGAGCTCCCGATGCTGGCCGTGGCGGGACCTCCCTTGGTGCAGGTGCCTCCGGCGCCCCGCACCGCAGCTACCGCCCTCGGGCGGGGGGGGCGGGGGGTACGGCTTACCAGGAGGGGACGCTGGTATCCAACCTCGTATCTTTCCTCCCTCCTCTCCTCCTCCTCCTCCTCCTCCTCCTCATCCTCGTCGTCGTCGTCGCCCTCCTCCTCCTTCTCCTCCTCCTCCTTCTCCTCCTTCTCCTCCTCCTCCTTCCGTAACCAGTTTGGCTCAAGTCACATGTTGCTAGGCTGGGGCCCCGCACGCGTCCCTTTCGCGTCAGCATGCAATGGTGCGCGCCGCTGCCATTCTGGGTGGCGTCTGCTAGTATCCATAAGCATCGTCAATCTCGTTAGCATGGTGCACTGCCGCCCTCCTACCAAATTGCTTCAACGACGCGATCGAGCACAAGCCATAGGCTATCTCAAGAGCTGCCCGTCGGGGATGACTCACGTGCTGATTCCGAATGTCCTGCACTCCAGCACCAAGCGTATGGCGCACAGTCTTGTGGCGCACTCGCAGCTGCAAGCGGTCACAGGAGTTCCTTCACGTAGTCTACGTGGTGCCATTGCTCAATGTTGGGGCGCTTTACGATGGCGGCTCGATCAAGCAGTTTCATGCGATCAACATTCTTGCAGGGCGAACCAAACATCGAGTTCCTCCCCCGCCTGCTGTTTCGTTTTCGGTAATGGGCATTACACCGAACGGGTCCAATAAGCTGCTTTGCCTTGCCGCGGTGGTGCCACAGTGCCACCGCCCATTGATAGCACGTTGACGGTGGTTTGGAGCATGCTCCCAGCTTTCAGGTGCAATTTGCAGTCGCTGTTCGCCTCTTACTCCCAGCCGCCCGCCCTCGTCGCCCAGCCTGTGGTCGTCCCGATCGCGGCGCGCGATGGTTCGGATCTCCAGCAAGTGTAGGACTTCATCGCCGAGCTGAGTATGCAGCGGAGTTCGTCTTCTCCTTCCTGCTCTTCATCGCCGCCTGGTGTGGCTGATAACGTGCACCCCTTCCACAGGTATGATTTTGAAGCCGACTTCAGGTACGACCTCGACTTCGTGTGCGAGCTCGCCTCGTTCGAGGACGGCGCTGCTCGCGAGCGATGTGTTCCCAATCCTCAAGCTGATCAGCGTCGTTCGTCGGCTGAGAATGAATTTGCCGCTTCCCATTGCATGAAGGTCCTGGATGACGGACTGCGGATATCCACAGTCTCGCCATGCTGGTCGTTCTATGGTTGTCGATTTGGGTCTCGGCGCAGGTCCTCTCATCATTCGGAGGTGTCCGACGTGGCTATCGCTCTCGATCACAAGCGCTTGGCCATGGCTTATCGCGTGTACGATGCGGCGGCACCTGTTTCTGCAGCTCTTTGGCGCGCTCGCGAGGCCGGCCATCGTGTTCATGCAATGTTTGCGTTGTCGGTACAAGTCGAGTCTTTGGGTCCTGATGGTAGTCGTCATGACGCTAGTGATGCGCTTCGTTACGCGAGCGACGGTCTTCGGCATGCTGGAGGCGCTCTTCGCGATGCATCTCATGTGCTGGATGCGGGTCGGTGCGACGCTGGTGGCCGTCCACTGGGTGGTGACAGTGCTCCCCCAAGTGACGGTCGCGCTGATGTTGACCTGATTCTCACGATCAGGAGGCTGCTGTGTGTGTGGCACTCTTCGGATTGTCAACTCTTTGCGTCATGTGATATGTCTGCTCTGTCTCATCTCGCGGCCGCTGGTGGTGGCAAGCCTGATCCTCATGACTGCACTGAGGACGACCCGTACAACATGCAGTCGGAGTTGTTCTTGGAGCACGGCGAGCTCGACAACGAGGACGACCTGGCGGTGGAGCAACGGCCTTGTGATTTCTGAGGTTTCCTGGAGGACTTGCTCTGGGATTCTAGGATGTTGCAAGTGACGAACATGCGTGTATGCAGCGCTGGCGCTTGTGCTCGAGCAATAAAGGCGGCTTCCCTCCCCCACAGCAGCAGCAGCGGGGTAGAGGAGCCGTCGAGGGTTCGGCAGAACGGACAGAGTTCGAGCTGGGACTAACCTCACCGACACGGAGGATCGAGCGAGGGAGAGCTCCAGCCAGAACGAGGTTGGTAGCGGAGCGAGTGGTTGGCCCCACTGCTCCAGACATAGAGGACATTGGGATTAGCCATCCCAGAGAGTACGAACACGGAGACCACATACGACATGGCCGAGTATAACAGCGCAGTCGACCCGAAGATACCGGTGCTGAAGGGCGAGACGTTGAAGGACTTCACCAGATACAAGAGGGCGGTTCAGGCGGCAGAGCTGAGCTGCGAGAACAAGGAGTCGAAGCAGGCGCTCGGTCCGAAGCTGTGCAGAAACCTGCTGGGCGCGGACAACTCCATAAGCGCGCTGATCGAGCAGACGAATCTCAAGGACTACGCGACGGAGGACGGCGCCCAGATATTACTACGATTCCTAGAGGAGCAGCGCTTCGCCAAGAGCAGTTTCAGGGAGCTGCCGAAGGCGTTCGACGCCTTCTTCGACCAGACTCACTTCGAGAAGAAGGGCGAAGAGCCGATGGCGGCGTTTTGCACAGCGATGGAGGTGGCGAAGCGCAACCTCGAGGAAGTGGACCCCGACACGAAGATCAGCGCGAACGAGCTAGGGTACCACGCGCTGAAGAGAAGTGGACTCGACAAGGACGAGCGCAACTTAGTGATAGCACGAGCAGATGAGACCTTCAATTTCCAGAAGATTAGCACGACGCTGAAGAACCTCTTCCCGCGAGGCGGAGGTCGGCACCGGGATCGACAGGGGGCGCGGACGAGCTGGCGATGGGCAAACTACAACGACGGCGAGCGCGACCCGGAGGATGAGGACCAGAGCGTCGAGCACGACGGGTACTGGGTCCAGGACGACGACGGCTACTGGTACGAGTGGGGCGAGGAGCACGGCGTCTACGCGTTCGCGGAGGACGACGACAACTGGGACAGCAGCGACACGTTCTACATCGAGGACGACACCGACGTCTACCTCGCGAGCGAGGATGACGAGTACCAGCAGGCCCTCGCCACGCTGCGCGAGAGCAGGCTGAAGATGAACAAGATCCGGGCGGCTCGAGGTTTCTTCAAGGGACGAATCGATGGAGTAGTGGACGAGAGCGCGGCGGCCGGCGGCAAGGCAGCCGGGAAAGGAAGCAAAGGCGGCAAGGGCAAGGACGGCGGCAAAGGTAAGTCCGAAGACAAGAGGTGCACCAACTGCGGAAGAATGGACCACGCTACACCGGACTGCCCGACGACGCGATCTCCGCGGCCGGCAGGAAAAGGCTTCAAGGGCCGCGGCAAGACCTCGAAGGCTCAATCACGTCCAAGACGGCTAGGTTTCTGGGCGACGACCACACTGGTGTGCGTTATGCCGGACATGTTCCACCAGAAGGATGCCCAGGACCCGGAGCCTTCGACGGGGAAGTTCCAGGAGCCAGCCGAGCACGACATCATGATGGTCACAGTGGAGAGCGACCCGATCCTACCTGAAGTACCAGAAGTGGACGCGATGATCTCGAGCACGATCGTGCCAGCCACCCTGGTGGACAGCGGCGCCTCCGCGGCGGTGGCAGGGCGCGGCTGGTTGGATAAGATCGCCGCGGAGCTCGAGAAGTGCGGTCTGAGACCCATCATCGTCGAGGCGAGCCAGAAGTTCAAGGGGCTTGGCGGCGCACGACGTGAGGCGCAGCAGAAGTGGATCATCCCGATCGGTATTGGCAAGAAGCACATCCTGCAATAATATTTCAAGATCCCAGGCGACATGATCGGCCTGACGAGCAAGAAGAACCTGGCGGACTGGAAGGCGAACCTGCGCCTGCGCGAGGACGGCCAGTGGGCCGACTTCCAGGAGCTCGGGGTGCACGACAAGGAGCTCGTGAACCTTCCCGGCGGCCACGTGGGCATCGACATCTTCGACTACGACTTGGAGTCGTGCGAGGCGGAGCCCCTCTTCGAGAAGCCCCGCATCCACGTCGAGAAAGTCGAGCCGGAGGTTTTCCTGGTCGCGGAGACGCTGCAGGTGACCAAGCCAGACTTCAGGGCCCAGGGCGGCGCCGATCGGTGGGTCCAGGATGCGACGAAAGAAAACTGTAACAAGGGGATCTTCAAGAAGGGCACGCTCAAGCGGATTGACAAGCTTATGAAGGAGTATGCGGTTATATTCGATGTACTGCGGGATAACAACGAGACGGTTCTCTGGGAGTTGTTCGCGAGGGAGGCTCGCTTTATTCATGTAGCTTCGAAGGGTGGTCACGCGAATGCGACCCCCTCGGACCTATCAGTTGGCATGAACTTTAACGACCCTCGGACGCGATCAGATTTCCTGTTTTTGATTAGGACCTTCAAGCCCTGGACGGTATCGGTCGCATTCCCGTGCGCCGCTCACACGAACATGCAAGAGTTACAGCGTGCCCAGGGCATGGGCGACAGGGTGGGCGACCTCATCCAGGAGCTGCTGGTCGACTTTTCGGCGGAGGTGCTCAAGATTCAGGCTCAGGGAGGACGGATCGGCATCGGCGAGAACCCTCTCACCAGTCGGGCGTGGCTTGAAGCCTCGATCGTGGACCTGCTGAGCTGGCGCGGGAACCAGCCCCCACTCTACGAGACGGTCACGTTACACCAGTGCATGCACGGGCTCGTGGACAACTACGGCGACCCGATTCGCAAGCCGACGTGCATGATGGTGCCCAACGGCTCGTGCTTCTCTGGGCGGCTCGAGCGCAGGTGCGACGGGGGCCACCAGCGCGCCGACATGGTCGGGCGTAGTGCGGCACTGGCACAAGCGGGCGCTTGGCCGGACGACCTGGGCAAGGCTCTGGTGGGCGCCGGCACGCGCGAGCTGGCACGACGGACAAGCCCGAAGGAGATGGGCATCGGTAGCGGCACGGCGAGGTCCACGAGCAAGCAGATCGTGAATGCAGTGGCCAAGGCGTTCAAGCTAAGGAAAGATCTGATCGACGTGCGCGCGTTGACGGATGACGAGGAGGTCCCGCCCCCTCGCGGGGCAGTGCGGCGACTCTGCGCGATGTACTCCAGCGAGGGCGCGCTGGCGGACTACAGCGACGCCTACGCGGGCGACCCGGGCTTCGGGACGATCAAGCTGGTCAAGCGGCTCCCCACCGACACGGTGATCGCAGTTTACGTGAAGGAACCGAAGGTGCAGACGTCCTTCCCTGCGACGGTGCACATCTACGGGAGCAAGCCCAAGACCTTTGCTCCGGATGATCGTGAAGCTGACACGGCACATCGAGACCTACAACATGAGGGTAAGAGTTTCGGGGATAAGCCTTCGGACGTCACCGCGGCCCAGTGGGGCGCTCTCAAGAAGCTCCACCTCAACCTGAGCCACCCCTCTGCTCACGCACTGAAGCGTCGGCTGAAGTCCTACGGAGCGTCGCAGCAAGTGCTGGATGCAGTGGACAAGCCGGACTGCGGCGTGTGCAAGGACCTCGGCAGGCCGACTACGGTAAGAAGCTCTAACCTGAAGCTCTCGACGGAATTCAATGAGAACGTGTTCCTAGACGAAGCCGAGGTGATTCTAGCAGACGGGACCCGACTGATGGTCATGATGATTCTGGACGACGCGTCGGGCTTCCGGGTGATCATCCTTACTACTGCAGTGAGGTCCATCACAGGTGAAGAGAGCCTACGATGCTTTTCGCAAGGCTGGTTATCGTGGGCTGGACCACCCAAGGTGCTGTGCTACGACGCGGCAAAGGGTCACATCACGAAGCGGTTCGCAGAGATCGGAGAGAAGTATGCCATTCTGATGAGGCCGGTCCCAGCAGAGGCGCACCAGCTCAAGGGTCGAGTGGAGCGCGCGATCGACTTCTTCAAGGACCACTTTCAGCGCCTGAACCGCGACGTGCAGCGCACTAAGGACGACGATCCGCATTTATGGACATTGGTGATAGCGAGCACGTGTAACAACCACATTCGGAGGAACGGCTTCACCCCCTACCAATACGTGCTGGGCAGGTCGCCTGGCATCCCGGCCTCGCTGATTGAGGCGATGGAGGGCGACCGGAGGCAGCTGGCATCACAGAGCGCGGCTCTCTTCGAGGAGGGCCCGAGGAGAGCAGAGCAGATCCGTGCGGCGGCGAACCGGGCGTTCTTCGAGCTGGACAGCGATGACGCCGTCAGGAGGGCCATGGTTGGCCGAGTTCGTCCACCGCGTGGACCATTCGTGCCGGGCCAGCTGGTGTTCTACTGGCGCGAGGTGAAGCACGTGAAGTCGAAGAGGCTCCAGGGCGAGCACGGTTGGCGTGGGCCAGCGATTGTGTTGGCGACCGAAGGCCACACGAGGCTGCACCTCAGCTACCGCGGGGTGCCGGTGCTCGTGACGCCGGAGCAGGTGCGACACGCCTCCCGCAGCGAGGCGGACATGGTGGAGAACGAGGACTTGGTCAGGCAGCTCTCCCACTGGCGTGGTGGACCTACACTACAGAAGGGATTCATCGACGAGCGTGGGCCTGGGCCAGATGGGAACGACAAGACGGGCGTGCGCCGCGAGAGGGACGAGAAGGACTCGGACCACGAGGACGGCGTGACCGACACACCTACGGCAAAGGCACCGCGTGCCGAGCCGGCTCCACCACCGCCACGGCCAGTGGTCGAGGCGACACCGAAAAAGGAGCGTGAGGAGGAGAACGTACCTGCACCTGGAGACCTACCTGAAGAAGTACCACCACTACCGGGAGGAGGACCGTCTCCTCCAGAGCAAGCTACAGTCCCACCTGCTGCGGCAGCTGGGCAGGGGCACTCCATGGTCCTGGACGCTGTGGCTGCGCCAGGTATTCCGCATCAACAGCAACCAGAGCGAGCTGAGCAACCAGAACCTGCACCACGACTCAGCTACAAGCGAACGCTTCCTTTCTGTCCCGGAGGACCAGGACGACGAAGAAAGCAGGTCACTCCCAAGAAAGGTCGGGAGATCCGCAGCATTCCCCAGGAGTGGAAGGCGGCCTTCGACGCGAGCGACCTGGAGGAGTGGCGCATGTGGGTCGAGTACGACGCAGTGGACTGGCCGACCGAGGAGGAGCTCGCGGGGGTGGACAAGACGGCGATCCTGCCCATGAGGCGCGTTCGCACGGACAAGAACGAGGCGACGAGGGGCAACCTGTCGTACGAGCAGCACCCGCTCAAGGCGAAGTCCCGGAACATCGTTCCGGGATACAAGGACAAGCAGCTGCTCGCTGGCGAGTTGCAGACCAACGCCCCCGCTCGGACGGACACGGCCACGGCGGTAACCCTGCAGGAGGCCGCTAGCCAGGTGGGCTGGAGGCTGGAACTGGGCGACGTCGACTCGGCATTTCTGAAAGGGAAATACCTTGACAGCTCTCGACGCGTATACTTCCGCGCGCCGAAGGGTGGCCTGCCAGCTGTGCCGGAGTTGGGCTGGCCAGCCGTTCCAGAAGGTACGGTGCTGAGAGCGAAGAAGGGGATCTACGGGCTGAATGATGCACCTCTGTTGTGGTACGAGGAGCATCGCGACACTATTCTGTCTCCTCCAGGAGCGTCGAGATCAAAGTTGTGCCCGGCTCTCTTCATCTTCCACGACGAGAATGAGAAGCTGTTCGGTCTGATCGGGACGCACGTGGATGACGACTTGGTAGCGGGCTCGCCCGAGTTCTTCGCTAACCAGGTGACCAAGCTGAGGAAGACGCACTGCCGCGGCAAGTGGCAGACGGCGAAGACCGGTTTCCACCACTGCGGGAGATTCCTCAAGCAGAGAGACGACGGTACCATCACCTGCAGCCAGAGGGAGTACACCGAGAGCATCGAGAAGATTCCGATCTCAAACGAGCGTCGCAAGGACAAGGAAGCGAAGGCTACACCCGAGGAGAGAGCGATGCTCCACAGCGGCAACGGCCAGATCCAGTGGCTGGTGCGATCTACCCGGATGGACTTGGCATTCCGACTGGTGGAGAGTCAAGCGAGGGCCCACGACAGCGACCTGAAGGTTCAGGATCTGCTGGACTTCAACAAGCTGGTGAGCGATGCCAAGACGGACCACGTGGACATCACTTTCCAGAAGATCAACATAGACGACGCGATCGTGGTGGCGCTTGGAGACTCGAGCCACGGCAACGTGGGCAAGACGACCGCGAGTCAGGCGGGCCTGGTCATCCTGCTAGCAGACAAGAAGGACGATCAGTTTCTCCGCGGGATGCCTGCCAAGGTCACTCCCATGTTGTGGCGGTCGCACCGTATCAAGCGGGTTGTGCGCAGTACCCTGGCGGCCGAGACGATGGCGGCGCTGGAGGCGGTCGAGAGTGGCGACATGCTGAGGCAGCACCTGGTGGAGCTGCACTATGGACTCGGCCACCGGGCCCACATGGACGATGTGAAGGCGATCATGATGGTGGAAGTCACGGACTGTAAGTCGCTGTGCGACCTGCTCCAGAAGCGAGGGACGGTGCCCTCCGAGAAGCGACTGCTGATCGATATCGAATCGCTCAGGAAGGACCTGGAGTTCAACAACGTGGTGAGCAAGTGGGTGAGCACGAAGCAAATGCTCGCCGACTGCCTAACCAAGCGCGATGTCCGCGCTGGCGACTACATGAGGTATGTGCTCCAGACTGGCGAGTACCAGTTGACGGAGGATCTCATGGCGGACCAGGTCATCGCCAAGCAGAGGCTGGAGCTCAAGGGACGCAGGGGTGAATACTACCGCTCGAAGTATCCCAAGAGGCAGCGGCCTGCTGACCAGCTCTTCGTTCACGAGGGCTACACCTACTTCGAGGAGTGCATTGCGGATGTGAGGTGCAATGCGCGCGTGGCTCAGCCTGCTCCGAAGCCATGCCTCCGTTGGCGGATGATGCTTGGACAGCGCGAGGAAGACATCTACTACGAGAAGCTCGAGGACATGGTTGACTGGTCTGGATTAGACCAGGTGTCAAAGCGTCGGAGGATCCCGACCCAGGTGCGGAAACTGTTGACGATCTACGCACCGACCAAGGCGGCCCTCGAGCGCTACGAGAAGGACTTCACGGAGAAGCACACCATCAAGAAGCCGAAGGTGACGACCGATGACGACCCCAAGGAGGAACCAGGTGTCACCGAGGAGCTTGGCGCGCACGTCGAGTCAGACGGGAACGTGAAGGAGGATAACACCGACGTTGCGGAGATCTACATGATGGACGCTGCGGGTGCCGAGTCCGAGGAGATCAAGTCAGGCGCCGCTGCAGCGGCAACGGTGACGGTATGTGCGTTGTGTCGGATGACGCTGGACCAGTGCGAGTGCGGACCGAGGACGCGCAAGAACCCCATCGGGCGTCTACCTCGACGCGTGCCGACGACCTGCCTGCTGCGCCGGGCGACGAAGATGATGACGATGAGGAGGCAGGGGCCTGGCAGAAGGCACCGCGCCAACGCAAGGAGTCTACGACCCCGACGAAGAAAGAGATGCTGAAGGCTCGCGCGCTACACGAGAGAACCGGACACTCATCGCACGAGAAGATCGCGGACGAGTTCGGCGACGCGATCGAGGAAGGTGTTCTCGAGGCGTACGAGCTGGTGGTCAAGAACTGTGACGAGTGTCGACGAGGAAAGAAGACCGACGCCTCTGTGCAGCGGGGAGCCAAGAGCAGCGAGCATGAGACGCACGAGTCCACGAGCAAGGCCAAGGGCAAGCCCAAGGGCAAGCAGACGGCCCGAGAACGCATAGGCGACTGCGAGCACAACGTGACGACTTCACAAGGAAGCAACCAGTACAAGGACAAGCTCCGGTGCCTGCAGTGCGGCACGCTGCTGGTGGACACGGACACGACGTGGTGGAAGCGAGAGAAGGAGTACCGCGAGATCGAGAAGACCTTGCGGACCAGCAAGGAGAAGGAGATCGAAGCCGAGATGAAGGCCATCCGCCTCCGTGACATGTACGAGAGGATGGAGGCCAGTGAGTCGAGCAAGGGTGCAAGCTCGACGGATGCGTGAGGGACCACTACGCCATGTGCGACGAAGACGCCATTTTGGCGACTGGCACGGTGTTGCGCTGTTTGACGCGACGCCTGCCTCTATTTGCTGTTGAACTGGGTGCTAGACCCGGCGCACGCTGCTGCGTGTCACGCTTAGTTAGAGAAAATAATATGTGTGTGATTTCTGAGGTTTCCTGGAGGACTTGCTCTGGGATTCTAGGATGTTGCAACTGACTAACGTGCGTGTGTGCAGCGCCGGCGCTTGGGCTCGAGCAATAAAGGCGGCTTCCCTCCTCCACAGCAGCAGCAGCGGGGTAGAGGAGCCATCGAGGGTTCGGCAGAAAGGACAGAGTTCGAGCTGGGACTAACCTCACCGACGCGGAGGATCGAGCGAGGGAGAGCTCCAGCCAGAACGAGGGGGCCTCCTTCTGGATTTGTTTCTCTTTCTGGACTTCCTGTTCCACCTGTGGGCGCCGAAGGCGCAGGGTTGTCCTGTGCGTCCCGTGATTTGGTGGGCGGGGCGGGGGCTTGCAGGAAGGAGGGGCGCCTGCCTCGGGAAGGCGATGCATCCGAGATGCCCACGGCGCCTCGACGGTGGCCGGAGCTCTTGCGGGACAGGGGATGCAGCCCCCACTCCAGCCACATCCAGTGGTCCGCGACTATGGCTTACCAGCCTATGACGCTCTCGCCCTCGACCCTCTGCAGCCCGATCACGACCAAGCTCCTGTTCGCCTTCCTGGTTGTTCTGCCGGTGGTGGCAGCAGGGGCGCCCTGCTGCCCAGTGATTGGGCGGTACCTGGCGCTCGTTTCTTTCGGCGTGCTGATCTTCTCCAGCCCCGCCGATGCAGTAGAGAACACGTGGTTGCTGACAATCTGGCATATCGCGCGGTTGGGCGCATACGGTCTACCTTGACATGCACTGCGACGGCAGCCCTGATGGCCGACTCTTCTCTGGATGACGCAGCGTATCTTCAGCGCGCCTTCCAGGAGATGGGCATGGAGAAGCCCACTCTTCGAATGGTGGCAGCGGCGCAGCGTTTTCAGCGTGCACGGGAGCTCTTCGCGGCGGTGGTGTGCTGATCCCTGTTCGTCTGACGGCGATGCTGGCGCGGACGCGCTGGCGATGGTCGGCGGGGTCGGTTTTCTTGGCGATCTCGACTCCTCCGCAGCGCCCCTGTCGCAGGCCTAGAGGTTGACACCAACGCCAATATCGGCGGTGAGCCTCCACAGAGGGAAGAGGATACCAATCTCGGTGATGGTGTGATGGTGGCAACATTCCCACCTCTAAGGTGACCGAAATATTACCACCAACACCGAAATCTAGGATCATCTTACCCCTGTGGAGGCCACCCCCTATGCTGGTGTTGGTGCCCATTTCCAGGCCTCCAACCCTGGACTCCAACGGCAGGTGCTCAGGACAGGCCCCGCGGAGGCCGAGGAGGGCGGCTCGGCGAGCGCGGCCTAGCGTGGAGGGTCCGCGCGCATCTCAGTGGCGCGGGCTCCTCCTCCTCCTCCTCCTCCTCCTCATCCTCCTCCTCCTCCGCCTCCTGCTCCTCCTCCTCCTCCGCCTCGCGGAAGGGCCAGCAGCTGCTCCCCCCGCACTGACCCGCAGGGAGTCGTAATCGTAAGGTAGCGAGCCTCTCTTACGGGGCCACCTCGGATCTCACTCTTTCAGCAACGGGGTATGCCCCCTGCCCGCCCTAGTGAGAAGGCAGGGCCGTTGCACAACCAATCGCATGGGATTTTGCCAGAAGCGCGCAAGGCACCAGCGTAGGTGTTTTGACGCTGAAACCCGTTCTGCGGCTGTCCTGTCCTATCCAGTCCTCCTCCTCCTCCTCGCGGCAGAATCATACTAATCATACGAATCCTTGGGGATCCATCGAAATCACCAGAATCCTAGACATGTTGCGCGAGCCCTGTATTACGATTACTTGCGGGAGTCCCGTATGAAAGCGGCGACGACGACGATCGCAACGACGACGACAAAGACGACAAAGACGACACCGTTTCGATTGGAGATGCAGCGAATTGCAACTCAATCTGTTTTCCACAGAAACTGCAGCATCTTCCGTCGCGCAGGGTAGCCCAGGAGACATTCTTCGCAGAAGTAAACAACCATCCAACAAGACCCCGCATGGCGAACAACTAGTGCGAAAGTAATTGACACGCGTGGCCATCGCCGAACAAGCTCAACGCAACGGTGGCGAGGTCTTACTGCGCGCTGTCACCTGCGCTGCGCCAGCCTAATATGAAAGCGGCGGCGAGGACGACAAAGACGACGCCGACTCGATTGGCGAGGGTCCGAATTGGAATTGAGAGGGGGACGAGGGGGGTGGGGACGAGGAGGAGGGCAAGGAGGAAGAGCGAGGAACACGGCGGGCACGGGAGGGACGAGGAGGGGGCGAACGAGTGTTGCCGGCCGAGAGCTTTGGGGGGTGAGTGGGGGCGCAGCATTAGACCCCCTGCGGTTAATCATGATACCAATGTGTATACATATACACATACCGACAAACATATTTAGGTGTATATATATATATGAGTGAGAAAACCGATCGTCGGAGATCCAGGAACCGATGGCGACCTCGGCCTCGAAAAGGGGCCGCCCATCTTCGTCCGACAACCCCGCTGGCGACCTCGGCCGCGAGGGGGCCGCCCTTCGCCTCTGGTGTCACAATTTGCTCGTGCCGAAGACCCCCGGGGATCCCTTCCCCAGGGGCCGGCCTTTCTCGACGAAAAACAACATCATGAACAGAAACTGTTGGCGCTCCGCGCGGATTTCTTGGATCCGCGCTGGGCCCCCCGGCGGCGCCTCCAGCGCCGCACCTGGCGCGCTCCGCGCGCCAGGGAGGAGAGTCCAGCGCAGATCCAAGGAATCCGCGCGGAGCGCCAAAAGTTTATGCTTATGTTTTTTCCCAACCATCCTGTGGTGTTGGGTCCTCGTTTTGAAGAGACGGTGCCCCGCGTTCCTCTTCTCCTCCTCGACCTCCCCCCCCCCTCCCTCCTCCCATCATCATCATCATCATCATCATCATCATCATCATCATCATCATCATCATCATCATCATCATCATCATCATCACCACCGATTTCGGCACACCCCTCACACGTTTCGTGGCCCCATAGGGAGCTCCACCGAAGGCCCCAGTGGCAGGGTCCGCATGCCTCCCCACCACCCATTCGGCACACCCCTCACACGTTTCGTGGCCCCATAGGGAGCTCCACCGAAGGCCCCAGTGGCACCGCAGTCATTTTCGTGGCCCCATAGGGAGCTCCACCGGGCCCCAGTTCCGCATGCCGACAGGCCCCATATGCCTTTTCGGCACACCCCTCACACGTTTCGTGGCCCCATAGGGAGCTCCACCGAAGGCCCCAGTGGCAGGGTCCGCATGCGTCCCCACCACCCATTTCGGCACACCCCTCACACGTTTCGTGGCCCCATAGGGAGCTCCACCGAAGGCCCCAGTGGCAGGGTCCGCATGCCTCCCCACCACCCATTTCGGCACACCCCTCACACGTTTCGTGGCCCCATAGGGAGCTCCACCGAAGGCCCCAGTGGGGTCCGCATGCCTCCCCACACCCATTTCGGCACACCCCTCACACGTTTCGTGGCCCCATAGGGAGCTCCACCGAAGGCCCCAGTGGCTGCGTTCGCATGCCGCCCCCACACCCATTTCGGCACACCCCTCACACGTTTCGTGGCCCCATAAGGAGCTCCACCGAAGGCCCCAGTGGCAACGTTCGCATGCCGCCCCCACACCCATTTCGGCACACCCCTCAAACGGTTCGTGGCCCCATAGGGAGATCCACCGAAGACGGTACTCACACCAGCATTACTCACAACTGCATATGGTTGGGTCCTTCGCCAGGCTAATTCTTCGTCCCCTTTCACAGCCGTTCGCTGCTTGCCCTGGGGCCGGAAGGCCGCGTCCAGAGCCCCTCCAGAACTCGCTGGTTCCAAGATGGTGCCCTGAGGGATGGGGCCCTGAGGATAGAACAGGGGATCCAAGGGTGCATGTTCGCTGGTTGAGGCACCTCGTCCTTAGGACCCCCTCCTCCAGCTATACGTACGTAAGAGTGACCTTTCGCCGGAGTGACCTTTGGTGCGGGCCCAGTGGGGCCCAAGGTTCGTTGAATACGATGGGATGGCAGCGGCTTGTGCGCCTGGTGGTGTCCCCGAGAGGGCGCCTTGGGCCGCGCAGCAAAGGTCACTCTTGCCCAGGGTCACTCCTGCGTGTGGCCGGCTCCTCCTCTCCTCCCGCCCTCCTCCTCTCCCTCCCTGCCTCTCCCCCTAATGCGCGCCGCCGGCCCCGCAGCATCGCGGGCCCCGTTCCTCGATGATCGCAGAGTGCGCAGTCCTCCTATTCCTCACCCTCCTCCTCCTCCTCCTCCTCCTCCTCCTCCTCCTCCTCCTACTCCTCCTCCTGCTCCCCCTCCCCCTCCTCCTCCTGCTGCTCCTCCTCCTCCTCCTCCTCCTCCTCCTCCTCCTCCTCCTCGTCCTTCGGACCCAAGCCCTCAGGACCCCGTCGCTGAACCACCGAAAACCGTCCAAGCACCAGCCGTGGTGATTCTGCTGCGTCGCCTGGATGTGCGGGCCCGCCCGCTGCCGCTAGGGGCGACCCTGGCACCCCTGGAGCGTTCTCTGCAGAGGCACAGCAACTTCGGCCGCGCGCAGACCCAGAGATCCGACGCTCCCAACCCAGACCCCCTCGAGCAATTGAAAAATCACGACGGGAGGTTTTTCGCCACTTTCGGCCGCTGGGGGCCTTACTGGGCTCGCCTGGCCTCGGGGGCGTCAAAGAACGGCTCAGGATGCAAAACCGGCCATAGGGAACATTGGAGCAGCCGGATGTTTGGGGAGGGGGCAAGGAGGAGGGGGGCAGGCTTCTTAGAAGCCCCTTTGCTGCTTAAAAGGCGCGGGCGTTGTCTATAGATGTCGGGCCGGCGCCTTTCAGAAGCAGCCTCATTCCAAG